TCTGATGAAACCCAGGCTTATTCCTGTTATTGTTGGAAAATGTATCTAACACTCCTTCATCATTTTATGCAATCTAGGGTATATAGGAATTCTTGACCCTTCTTTCAATTGAACCGAAGGAGATGTGAACATTAATGTGCCATTAAAACTAAACGACAAAAGGTCATTGGGCTAGGTAGGATTTAAGAATCTGTTCATGATACGCTTTTGAAAGAAATGAAAGTGACCTTAACAATAATACGTGAAGAGATTTCAGCCGGTGATTTTCGCCATTGTGTCTAGACATGGAATCGATAGGCGTAGACATAAGGTTCTGATGCAGGCTTGGGTAGGTCAGGATGGTGGTGCCAAATCACCTGAATGGGCTGGTATTTACTCAATTGTCGGACTTTTGTTATACCCACCTCTAGTCTTATTGTCGACATGACGTTCTACTCTATGCTGTTTCCACATCCCAAATTCTATCCCAGATTCAATCGAATTGTGTTCAAGAGGACCAAGGAATCAAATTACCCTTTTTCAGCTCTCGTCTGTTCGACGGCAAGTACACAGGCACAACTGCCTCGAGCGTCAACATGGTCCTTTGCCAGGACGACCCTGCTTTAGCGTTGCTGCGTATTCATGAGTTTTTGGCAGCCTGGCAACCACTGCATGAATTGGAACATCATTCCTGCAAAAAAGGCGATGCCGGCGGTGCCCAAGCTGTTGATGGGCCAGTTGTCTCCAACGCTTTGTTCGCCTCTTCTTTCCCATCTGAACAGTTTGTGATCAACTGTCTGGAGCGCTATTTGACGGCCTGTCTGGAGCTTCGGTCGGCCGATCTACAAGGCGAGTTCGCTGCTTTCCACTGGCTGACCGGCAGCCTGGAAGAGGCTGGCTGGAGCAACAGAGGAGCACCATTGGCTTGGCCACAGATGAGCCTCTACTACGACCCAGTAAAGCAAACAGAGTTCATCATGCTGGTAAGTCAGTCAATGGCAGTGGAAATCGCATAAAGTTAAGGATTGTTCAATTTCCCCACAATTAGAT